CCTCTTTTACAAAACCAATATATTGTAGTTTTTGAACCTAGAAGGAGTAAAAAAGCTAGATTAGAAAAAGATTTTGGCCTTGATTATCATGTTTTTAATGTGGAGGAAACTCCATTAACTTTACAAGAAGTTTTGACATCTCTTGACTTTATTTTTTTGGAACGAGGCTGTAAATGATGAGATTGAATCATTATTATCCAATAAAACTTAGGTATTAGTAGATTTACCACCGGGTTGTAAAACTATTAGCTGTAAATGGGTTTTGAGGAAAAAACTTAAATCGGATGGAACTATTGATAAATATAAAGCCAGGCTTGTTGCTAAAGGTTTTAAACAACAAGCAGATCTTGACTTTTTTTGATACATTTTCTCCAGTTACTAGAGTTACATCCATTAGATTATTAATTGCAGTGGCTGCAATTCATGTTTTAAATGTGGGGGAATGTTAGTAGATATTTTAATATTATAATGTGTTATAGATTATATTGTACGATTGGGCTCCAAATAACTTGTTCTCCTAATTAATCCTTTCTTTTCCTCTAAGAAAACTTGCCCACCAAGTCTCCAAGTTAAGTCTTCATTCTTATTCACCAAGCCTCCAAGGAAATTTCTCACCAAGTTTCCTCACCACCAAGGAAATTTCCCACCAATTTCCTCTCTTATACTTTTTCTCCAAGGTAACCCCTTTCTTGGTGACCAAGCTTTCCTCTCCTATAAATTGAGCCTTTCACCTCTCTTATTGGCAGCTCAAGTTTCTTATTTGTGAGATTATAGGCAAATAAAAAAGGGTGTATGTGATAAAATTTTGAGTTCAACCAATTGTACAGTATTGGTTAACCATACAACTTAGTCGGGTTGTTGTTTCTTGGAGGGGACAAGTCAAGGTTTTTTCTGCTGCACTGGTGTGAGGCTTTACCTAACTGCAGAGGGCTTGAATCTCCTTAAACAGAGCGAATTTCCCGCACCTCAGCCCTTTCTATAATTATTGTAATTTTTTTTTTATTTTCTGGTATTTTATTTGTAATTATCACCAACAAGTACCAAGGAAATCTCTTAGGAAGCTAACAGAACACTTATTGCCCTTATTCCTAAAACCCCTAATCCTGAGAACATTAAGCTTTTTTGACCTATTAGCCTTTGTAATGTTAACTACAAGATTATTTCTAAAATCTTGGTGGAAACAATCAGGCCTCTTTTGGGTAATATCATCAGACTAATCAGAGCAGTTTCATTATTGGGAGATCCACGCATTATAACATCATTATTACTGAGGAAATTATATATACCCTTAGGTCTAAAAAAGGCAAGTACGGGGGTATGATTTTCAAAATTGATTTGGAAAAAGCGTATGATAGACTTTCTTGAAATTTTATTCATCAAACTATTGTTGAATTTAATTTAAATATCAGTTGGGTGGATATGATCATGAATTGTATTACTTCAGCGAGGTCTGCTATATTGTGGAATGGCAAAATCCTTCATGATTTCAAACCAAGTAAAGGTCTCAGACAAAGATAACCTCTTTCATGTTGCATTTTTGTATTATGCGTGGAAAGACTATCGAATATGATTGCTAAAGAAGTGGAGGAGGGACAATGGAAAGGTTTAAAAGCTTTAAAGAATTCTATATCCTTTTCCCAATTTTTTTTTGCTAATGTTTGCTAAAGCTGGCCTTGAGTCATGTGATGTTGTCATGGAAGTCCTTCAGGAGTTCTGCTCTCTCTTTGGCCATAAAATAAAACTCCATAAATCCAAACTCTTTGTTTCCAAGAACATACCTAGGCACAAATCCTCATCTGAGCAATAGGTGTGGTATATCCTTGACCCAGGACTTGGTAAATATCTAGGAGTTCCTTTACTTCATAATAGAGCCAACAAAACCCATTACTAGTACATTATTGAGAAAATGTAGGATAGACTAACTGGTTGGAAGGCTAAGACCCTATCTATGGCAGGGAAAATCACTCTTATACAAGCTGTTACTTCAACAATGCCTAACTATGCTATGCAAACAGTTGAGCTTCCTTAGAGCACTTGCAATACCATTGATAAACTCAACAGAAATTTTTTGTAGGGTGACAGTCAAATGACCAGGAAAAAGCATCTAATTCTCTGGGATCAGGTATGCAAACCCAAGGAAAAAAGAGGGTTGGGAATTAGTAAAGCCAAACATCAAAATTTACCCCTTCTATCCAAATTGGTGTGGAAATTATTAGCTAATAATGATAACCCTTGAGGGAAAATGTTGAGTGATAAATACCTTCAACAATCTGATTTCATGAACTGGAATAAAAAAACCAAAGGCTCTCATACCTAGAGAAGCATAATGAAGACTAAGGATGTGTTAAGGAAAGGAATGAAATGGATTGTAGGCAATAGTGACAAAATTTCATTATGGAATGATTGGTGGAATGGTGATAAACCACTGGCAGAAACTTCGCCTAGTCCACACACCCAGGCAATAGTGACAAAATTTCATTATGGAATGATTGGTGGAATGGTGATAAACCACTGGCAGAAACTTCGCCTAGTCCACACACCCAAAACTCTACCACTGTGAATCAGATCATTGATGAGGAAGGGCACTGGAGATATAACCTCCATTGAGCATTTTTTAAATGCTGCAGACAAAGCCAATATACTCAACATTCATCTCCCCGGGTATGTTATATACCTAGATAGATAATCTTGGAAATGGTCAAAGAGTGGGAAATTCACATCTAAAGCTACCTATAACATCATCTGAAATGATAATGAGAATGAGATAAATTGGAAGTGGCTTTGGAAGCTGAAAATTCCTCAAAGACTGAAGAGTTTCTTGTGGATTATGATGCATGGCAGACTAAGAAACCTTATGAGGGCTGGGAAAGGCATGGAGACTGATGGAACATGCCCCATATGTAAATGCCAGTTGGAAGGTATGTCTTATTTACGTAGAGAGTGCAAACATCCAGCAGAAATATGGAGAGCTATAAGAGATGAGCACTGGTCCAGAGAAGAAGCTAGAAAGCCATTTGAGTGGATGGAATCCAATCTAAAAAATAAAAGAAAGTACGTAGATGGGTCAGCTTGGAGTACTTGGTTTGCAGTCATTTGTTGACAAATTCAGAAAGACAGAAAAAAGCATATCTTTGATAATACAGAGATCAAAACTCATGAAAGTCTAATGAGGATACACATTTTTTCCAGAAATCAATGAAGCTTTCATGCATTTTTCTCTAAAACAAGAAGTGCAAACTAAATAAAAAAGAAAATTCAATAGAAAAGGAAATTGAATAAAAACTGAAGTTGAATACAAATGGAAGCTCTAGAGGAGAACCAAGAAAAGTTGAATTTGGATTCAAAGATGAAAAGGGAGCTTGGATTTTAGTATACAGGGGAAAGCTTGAAAGGGCTGACTCTAGAAGTAGAAATCTGGGGAATCTATCTAGAGTTGACCATCATGTTTGAGAAAGGATGGAGGGAGGAGATACAAGTGGAAACTGATTGCCAAAAAGCTGTATGGATCTGCTAATCAAAGGAGCTCCAGGAGAATTCCCCTTCAAGGCACAAATAGAAGACTCAAGATTGTTGCTTCAAAGAACTAGATCATGTGTCAAACACATTAATAGGGAGGCAAACCTATGTGTTGACGCCTTAGCCAAAATAGGAGTAGATTAAATGGAAAACCTTGTGGTCATTGAAAACCAACCTGTCCAAATAGGGCATGTGCTTCTTGCAGACATGGATATAGTTTATGAGAGGGAATAATGCTCTTTGTCTTTTGCTGTAATTTTCCTTTGCACCTTAAAAAAAAAAATGTTTTTCACTTTTACAAGGCGGTAAATGTTTTTCGAACTAAAATTTTATCGATATTACCACACTATCAGGGTCACTCTTACCTCCATCACCAGACCACCATTGCCACAATCATTGCCATCATCACCGCCAGCGCCACCACACCACCATGCTACCACCTCCACCTCCGTTTCACCACCACCACGAATCACGATCACCAAATATAGAAAAATATTTTCTCTAAAAATATTTTTTTTAAAAAATTGTAATAAATATTTTTCTTCCAAACAAGTGAGTGAAAGTAAAATCACAATTAATACCTATGTTACATGGACTTGGGTACGGGTGTCAAGTGCGGGTGTATATCCAAGCGTCAGACCTTCAGAAATTTAAATTTTAGGATCTTGGGGTACGTATGCAAAATTGGATATGGGTACGGGGACACTTCATATACACATATATATTACATATTGTATAATATTCTCGGATAAGATATTTTAAATTATGTAAAAATATATTAGAAATTAAATATGATTCAGAAAAAAATATCAAATTTCTATTTCTAATTCAGGTGAGAGCCTAAAAATATTGCTTAACTAACAAATACGAGTTTCTTCTTCTTCATGTATTATCACAAATTAAATAATCTGAGTGTCTAAATTGGGAATAAGCGTCACATACATATCTCATACCCTTACCCATGTCATATCTGGCGAACATGGATATTGTAAAGGAAATGGAAGAGTCCGTATAATATAGATTAATACTATTAACGGAAAATTCTATGGTAGCGTCTTATTTTCATGTTGTCATGTTGTGATCTATTTAAAGAGCCCACGACCAAAAGTGTCTAGTCCTATTTGATTGAGTTTAAAAATTGTCTTTTGTTAATTTTTTTGAACTAAAGTCTTTTGTTAATTTGATAAAAAAATTTAAAAATATTCATCATTTTTATATAATTTTTTGTCAACAATAATTTCTTTTATTAAAAAATTATTATTTTTGATCAAATTAATTTTTATTTTAAAAATTAAAAAAACATAAAATAAAATAAAAAATTAAAAACTGATTTTTCCGGGTGAGTGCTTTTCTTCTTCAATTTCTCAAATATTCACGCTTTATTTACACATTCAAAAAATAAAAAATAAAAAATATAAGATCCAAGCAAGTTAGAACGACGTCGTCTACATATGGATTACTCTGCAACACTGCCTCGGGAAATGTTTTTAACCGTTAAACCTCAAGCAGAGCACCTGAGAGCAATATGCTCTGCTTCTCCCTCCGAAAATGGCGATCTCTGCTAAAACCCCACCAATCCCTCTTCATCCAAACCTTCCCACTTCTCTACACTCAAAAACCCACAAACCCAAAACCCTTAATTTCTCTCAACTTCTCAAAACCCATAACTGCTCTTTAACCAGGACCCATGAAATCTCTGTCCTCAGCACCAATTCGATTGACACCAGAGACCCCAATTCACACATATGCGAACTATGCCTTCATGGACAACTCGAACAAGCTCTAAAATGCTTAGATTCGATGCTAGAACTTCAGATTACAGTTGAAGAAGAGACTTATGTTGCTTTGATAAAGCTCTGTGAGTGGAAACGAGCAGCTGATGAAGGGTCTCGAGTCTACAGTTTTGTGTTGGATTCGAAAACTCGTTTGAGTATTCGACTCGGAAATGCTTTGTTGAGTATGTTTGTGAGGGTGGGTAATTTGGTTGATGCGTGGTTTGTGTTTGGGAGAATGGAAGAGAGGGATGTGTTTTCTTGGAATGTCTTGGTTGGCGGGTATGCGAAAACGGGTTATTTCGATGAGGCTTTGAATCTTTATCATCGAATGTTGTGGGCCGGGATTAAAGCCGATGTATATACTTTTCCTTGTGTTTTGAGGACTTGTGGGGGTGTACCGGACTTGGCTAGAGGTCGGGAGGTTCATGTTCATGTGATTCGATTCGGGTTTGAGTCGGATATTGATGTTGTTAATGCTTTGATTACAATGTATGTGAAATGTGGAGATATCTTTAGTGCGCGGTTGGTGTTCGATAGAATGCCTAGGAGAGATAGGATTTCGTGGAACGCTATAATTTCTGGGTATTTTGAGAACAAGGAATGTTTGGAAGGACTGAAATTGTTCTTTACGATGCGTGAACTTTCTGTTGATCCGGATTTGATGACCATGACTAGCGTGATCTCTGCGTGTGAGCTTCTTGGTGATGAGAGATTAGGGAGGGCAATTCATGGTAACGTAGTGAAAACAGAGTTCGGGGTTGATGTTACAGTGGATAACTCCTTAATTCAAATGTATTCTAGTGTTGGGAATTTGGAGGAAGCAGAGAAAGTTTTTTCTAGAATTGAGTCTAAAGATGTGGTGTCATGGACAGCGATGATTTCAGGTTATGAGGATAATGGATTGCCTGATAAAGCTGTGGAAACCTATAAATTGATGGAGCTTGAAGGTGTTGTGCCGGACGAGATTGCTATCGTCAGTGTTCTATCTTCCTGTGCTTCTTTAGGTCTTTTAGACATGGGTATTAAGCTGCATGACCTTGCCAAGAAGACAGGACTCATATCATATGTTATCGTTGCAAACATACTCATTGATTTTTATTCCAAGTGTAGATGCATTGATAAGGCATTGGAAGTCTTCCACCAGATTCCTGATAAGAATGTGATATCTTGGACATCGATCATCATTGGGCTTCGAATCAACAACCGTAGCTTTGAGGCTTTGATTTTTTTTAGGCAAATGAAACTAAGGCTAAACCCCAATTCTGTTACATTGGTCTCTGTCCTCTCTGCATGTGGTAGGATAGGAGCTTTGATGTGCGGAAAAGAGATCCATGCCTACGCATTGAGAATTGGATTAGGGTTCGATGGTTTTTTACCTAATGCGGTCCTCGATATGTATGTAAGGTGTGGAAGGATGGGACCCACATGGAACCAATTTAACACACACAATAAAGACATAGCTTCATGGAATATTCTTCTCACGGGCTATGCCGAGCGGGGACATGGAATGCTTGCTATGGAGCTATTTGATAGAATGACAAATTCAGGGGTAAAACCAGATGAGATAACATTTATTTCGCTATTATGTGCATGTAGTAGATCTGGCATGGTGACTGAAGGTTTGGAGTATTTCAATATCATGGAACATAAGCATTGTGTTGTCCCAAATGTGAAGCATTATGCTTGCATTGTGGATTTACTTGGCCGTGCAGGGAAATTGGAAGATGCTTATGTGTTTATTCAGGAAATGCCTATAAAGCCAGATCCAGCCATATGGGGAGCCTTATTGAATGCATGTAGAATTCACAGGCAACTTGAGCTCGGGGAAGTTGCTGCTCAGCATATTTTTGAAATGGATGAAGAAAGTGTCGGGTATTATATTCTCTTGTGTAATCTCTATTCTGACAGTGGAAAATGGGACGAAGTCGCAAGACTGAGAAAGACAATGATAGAGAAAAAGCTTACTGTTGATCCTGGATGTAGTTGGGTGGAAGTGAAAGGAAAAGTCCATGCTTTCCTTGGTGGTGATGATTTCCACCCTCAGAAAAAGGAAATAAATGCAGTTTTAGAGGGATTTTATGAGAAAATGAAGGCGGTTGGTCTGAATGAACCAGAAATAAGTTCTACAGAAGAAGTTGAAGCTTCAAAAGCCGAGATTTTTTGTGGGCACAGTGAGAGACAGGCCATTGCATTTGGGCTGATAAATACTATTCCTGGGATGCCCATTTGGGTTACAAAGAATCTCTACATGTGTGAAAGTTGTCATAATACAATCAAATTTATCTCTAAGGTAGTTCGAAGAGAGATTTCTGTTAGGGACACAGAACATTTTCACCATTTCAAGGATGGAGTCTGCTCTTGCGGGGATGAGGGTTATTGGGGAAAGACATGATAGGCAAGCGAGCTGAAGGAACTTCTAACTTTTCTTACTAATCAAAAGAGATACAGGTGTGTTACATGTTCAGCAAAGCAGAGCACAACAACGACAACTTTCAATTGAAAGAAGTCTAAATGTGAGACGTATATTAATCTTCAAGATCGCTGCTTGACTTATGTGAAATGAAGGAGCTGCTTTTTCAACTTCTTAGTCAATGCACCCATTGATGGGGAGAATGACATAGAAAGTCTTTGAGGTGTAGCACCATTGGAATTTCAGCTCTCAATGGTGAAGTTCTGATGAATTTCTTCTCTTTTCCACATATGTATACATCTACTAAGATTTTATTCTTAGTGTGTTACTGGCTTTGGAAGATAAGTGTACCGAATTGCAATAGAGGATGCTTTGTTGTTGTACTTTTTGTCTTCATTTATAATTTGTCATCTTATCACAGAAAGATTTAGGCCAAGTTTGGGAAGACTAAATAAGTGCACTTTTTGACTTTTTATGAAATATGGGTTGGATTTGGGTTGGGTTTGAAGTGATGTGTTAGAGAGGTGACTTTTTGACTTAAATAGGATAATGACTTTTTGACTTTTTGGATTTTTTGGAGGATGCCAAACTTGGCCTTAGTGTTAAAATAAGAAATTAGGGGGCAAGTTGGTGTATACAAGAACTTCAATTAGCATTTTGAATGAATCTTCAGTCATTTTATTCTCTCCTTTCTGTACAAACAAAAAAGGGTTAATTACACTAATAGTCTTTATAGTTTAAGACTTGTGTCACTTTGGTCTCTGATTTTTTAATTGTGACACATTTGATCATGAATTTTGAATTTTGTTCCAAATAAGGACTATTGAAAATATTATTAGATTTTTCAAGGATAAAATCGTCAATTTGATAAAATATAAACTAATTTGACAAAAATAAATATCAAAAAAATATTTTTAATTTTTTTAAAATTATTTTTATCCACCAATGATAAAATCATGTAAAATTAATAAATATTACATGATTAATTTTTTAAAATTAATTTTACATGATTATCATCCAAATACATAATAAAAATTAATTTGGTAAAAAAAATAAATAAATGTCTAAAAGATTTATCAATTTTACATAATTTTATTTTTAGTAGGTAGAAATAATTTTTAAAAATTCAAAAATATTTGTTTGACATTTTTTTTGGTCAAATTAGTTTATATTTTGTCAAATTGACAATTTTACCCTTGAAAAATCTAATTATATATTCAATTGTCTTTATTTGGAACAAGATTCAAAATTCAGGGTCAAATGTGTTACAATTGAAAAGTCAAGGACCAAATGTGACACAAGCCCCAAACTATAAAGACTATTTGTGTAATTTGCCCAACAAAAAATTCATACATAATGATGTGATTTATTGTGGCATTGTCACATCATTCTTGTCAATTTTTTTGTATTAATTTTATGTAAGAATAGAATTTTCCTTTTACTTATAGTTTGAATTTTTTTGGAATTGGGGAAGATTAAAGTAGTAAATTGGACTTCTCTGATCAAACAACTAGTTGTTATTGCATATCTGGGTACAATCAAATATTTATACACAAAAACCAAGCACAGGAAAAAGACAAACACACACAATTATTCATATGGTACATAGTTCCATATGATTCATATCTTCACTGCTTTCTTAATTGTCCTGATGGATGACTTAATGAAGTTGTTCTCCGCTGCACGATCCTCATCACCATCATCATCATCATCATCGCCAATTACTGAGGGCTTCTTCCTGATGCAGTCCACTTTCTTTCTCATACCCAAAATCAAAGATGGAGAAGACGGGATTCGCCGAAATGCCCTGGCACTCTCAGACCTCATAGGCCCCTTTTCTTTCCCATTCTTCTCCTTTATCTCCTGCCCTTCAAAGCTGCTCCTACTTTCTACTCCTTTGCCAACTGCACACACTTCATTTGCTTTGCTTTGCTCTGTCACTAATTTGTAGGGAGGGTTTTTATTGGGTGTCCTTCTATCTTCAATCTGAACGATACCTTCTTCAGTTTTTTCCTCATCTTTCATTTGAACTGCATCCTGTGATTCTTGATATCCTAGAGCCTTGATGTCCTTCTCTACATATTTAAGATTTAGCTTTTTGATTATTTCATCTGTCTTGGTGTTTTCATTTTCATCGACAGTTTGAGGATTTGTGTCGTTGCCATCTGGGGTATCCTCCAACAACATTTGAAGCCACTTCTCTACATTTCCTTTTCCGCGCTGCCTTCTGCTTTCTTCATCCTCCTCTTTTTCTGGTTCACGCAGGACTGGAAATTGAATGTTATATATCTCTGCCTGCTCTCCTATTGTTAGTGCTTGAAGCTTATCCTCAATTGGGTTTTCATCCTCCAGACTATCTTTGCTGATATTGTTTACAATTTCTCTCTCTCCCTCTTCGTTTTCTTCTGCTTCAGATGCTTTCTGTTCCTCTGCCAAGAACACTCTCAGTTCCTTGTGCAACCCAGTCTTTGATTCAATTCCTGGCAAATACAGGACTTTCTTACTGTCTCCCTTTTGCAGTAAATGTGTCCTTGGTTTGTTTACAGGTAAATACAAAACAGTCCTATCACCTCCCTCTTCAAATACTGAATTGTCCACTCTTGATCTCTTCCTTGCATGCTGCCCTTCAGGCTTTATCTGTTTCTCTAACTCATCTCTTTGTTTGAATTTTCTGTGGAGTTCTTTCTCTGAGGAATCACAAATCGCTTTCTGAGCTTCAAGTCGTGCCATTAGGGCATTCGTCGCTGCATGGTTCAACCTCACTTGTTCCTTGTAAACAACACTCCTACAAAAAAGAAACATTTCAAGGGTTGAAGAATTGTAAACACAATAATGATGATTTCTCTCTTACGAAAATAGGTATGTAAAGGTGTCATCTTTACTGGTGCATAGCATCTCGAATCATCTTCTCTAGCATTGCCCTGTATGAACACTGTGCCTCTGCTAGGCGACGACACTTTTCAGCCCGTCTTCTTCGTTTTATCAGCACCAACTCTAACTCTTGGATGGCAACTTTCTCATCTTCAGTCTTTTGCTTGAGTTCATTCACTTCATTGTCCAGTTTCTGTATTTCTGTTTGCATCTTCGCAGTTTCTTCTCTTCGCTTCAAAGAATCTCTGGCAACGACAATGGCCTGATATGGATTGGTAACCGTGTCGGGATTCTCATTCTCTTTGGATGTACTCATTTTTAATTTTCTCGCAGCTGTCACAACCAAATGAGAAGTAAATTGTAGTTCATGGCGTTTCTAGTTACCACAAAATCAAATAAAGTGTTAGCATTAGATTTCCTTTTACTAACCGATTATGGGGGAGTTTGACCTCGGCCTTCTGTTGATATCTAGCGATTTCAGAGCCAATGAAGCATCATAAGATTCTCTTCTAGATGCAACAATAGCAGCCGGAGCGAGGCCTATTTTTTCTTTTAATTCAATGAAATGTTGTGAGAAAGTATGAGAATCCACTGTCTGTGAAGTGTTTAGTTCTTCACTTTCACCTTCCGAAAACAAGTAAGAAAATGCCCTGTGCCTGCCAAAATAGTAAAGTCTAGTTATCACCGGCTTTGTCTATTAGAATCAAAATTTACAGGAAATGGAAAACGAAAAAGACCCACCTGAAATCCGAGTTTGAAGAAGCAAAAATCGACAAGAACTGGTTGATGGAGATACCCACTTGAAGATCCCACCATGGAATGAGAAATTCTAGCTTGTTATGCTTCTTTTTGTACACTTGCCACTGTAGTATCCTTAGATTGCTTGGAACAGTCAATCCTCCCCCTGAATTTGCAGCAAAACCGCGAATGCTTTCATAAGTAGATGAACAAGCACAAAGACACAGACAGATAGATAGATAGAAAGATATGAATCAATAGATAATTACTTGAGCAAGGAAACCAATGATCGATTTCCCAAGCGAGAGGTGAAGCCGAATCAGCATGGTAATACAGGACATTGCCATATGGGTCTACCCGGATTATTGCAGGGTCGAAGCCAGCATTCCTGAAATTTCAGACGGTAATGAGAGTTAGAAACCCCGGTTTTTAAATTTTTGAGAGGTCCAGAGTATAATTCAATGGGGTTACCCAAGGTGGTTGAGTTGCTTCCATAGAAGACTGACAAAAATCTTGGGCTTGGCAGAGGGTTTTGCTTTCAGGTCAATAATTGGGAACATCTCATCGAATTCTCCTGTTCTCAGAGCCTACAAACACATACACAAATTTTTTCGGAGAATTCAAATAACACACTTGAAGAAAAGGATAAGGATTACTCTCCTTGTTTGTTGAAAGATTCCAGAAAAAGAAAAGAAAGGCAAACACTTTCAAAGCAATCCAATGTATGAATCAGTAAAAAGGAATTTATCACTTTCCAACACATTTAATTTCAATTCTAAGGTTAGAACTCAGAATTCAAGCAATTGGTTGTGTTTTCATTTTTTTGTTTTTGTTTATCAAGTTTACGGAAACGAAAACAATCAAAAGTTTGAAAACACCCTAATTTTCATATGGTGTGAAAATAATTTTTGAAAACTAAAACATAATACCTTGTTTGGTTTATACTTAATTTCTAAAAATTCAGTTTTTATAATTTTAAATATATTTTTTTATTTTTCACATATATCTAACCCATATGCAACTACAAAATAAATATTTGTGAAAAATATAAAAAATCAAAAATTCAATAAATATACAAAAATACAAAATTGTACTTCTTTTTTTACATTTAAAAAAAACATATTATATTTTTAAGTGTATGGTGTTTTTAAAAAATAAAAAATTAACTTAAAATATTAAACAATTCACTAAAAGAAACACGGAAACAAAAGAAAAATCAGTTTCAGTGAAAAGGTGAAAACCAAACAAGATGTCCTCAGAGCTCGTTTGGAAAGAAAAAGTCTCAGGTTTTTTTTTGGTTAAAATAGTGAAAAAAAAAATAAAATATGACAAAATATCGCATTTAACCCATAATTATTATATTTTTTGTCCCATAAAAATCAAAAAAGCTAAAAAGTGAAGCTTTTTAGCCTCAAACTAAAATAATCAAAAAGTAAAAAAACTAAAAAATCAACCCACATCCCAAATGATTTTCTTGAGATCTTTTTTTTTTTTTTTTTTTCTCTCGAAAACAGTTTAGTAAACAAGTTTTTGTGTGATCGATAATTGAAACACGAAATGAAAACACAACCAAACCGGCAATTACTGTAAGGTTGCAAAATTCAAATTCAGGCAAACCGTAATTGATCTTGAAGTTAATGATTGAAACTAATAACTCAAGCAAAACCCAAAAATTATCTTAAAGTTTCACATTCCAAAATTACAATTTCCATTAAATTTCTTTCTTATATATATATATATATGAGATATAGCTTATCTATACATAGCTTACATGAATTTAGTTTGCACATTCTGGGAATTTAACAACACAAGAAAATATATTTTCTTTCCTTTTCTCATCAAGCAAACAGAATTTAGTACATCAAAGAGGGGCCTTGTTCTTACCTCATGATGTTGCAGAGCATAGGGAGTGAAAGTGAAAGGTGGGCCATGGATGTACGGACAAACACTGTGATCTCTACATAACTTCGCATAGGCTTTTGGGTACCCAAGACCTTCGTCAATAGCCATCTCTTCTTCTGTGAACAAAAGATCAGCAGCCATTGTTGCTCCTTCTTCTTCTTCTTCTTCTTCTTCTTCTTTGTTTGGAGTGAGAGAGAATATATGGGGATTCAAAAACAGAGCACCACAATGAGCTCAGAGAGGAAATTTGATGAGGAAGACACCAACGGTCGATTCATTTTTTAAAAAAAGTCTTTAGATTTTGTTTGTTTTTTAAATTCAAATGCCACGTTGGCAAAACGGTGGGAGGTGTAACGGCTAGATAGGATGCCGATGTCCCCACAGCCTTAAATTTTTCACTCCTACTCCCGTTGTCTTATTGCTATTTTTGTTAAAAGACTAATTTGACCTACAGAAATTGAACATAAAATGGAAAGGGTGAAGGGTAGTTTGGTAAAAAGGTAGAGCAGGTTGGACCTAGTCCAAAACAACTTCAAAACTACAAGAGGCATTGATTTTTGTCATCATATACTAGTTTGAAAATGAATTAAACACAAATTATTAAAAAGCTATTATAAAGTTCCTTTTAGGCAATTATTAGAAGTACACCCAAATATGGTTTTGCTCCTCTTGGCCCTCCACCCACCAAATTAGGGTCTGTATAAAGATGGCCATTGGTGGATTGATAACAATTAATTTAATTATAGCGTTACATGTATTAATTAGTGTACTAACTAATCTATTAATACTAGTTATTATATTATTATTGACCCCACTCATTATATAAATTACAAATATCGAAAATCTTTTAAATTATGTCACATCATCAATTAGTATACTAGTTAGTGTATTAATTCGTACATATAACATTATTCTTAATTTAAACATTAGGGCACAGGACATTTACAAAAAATATATTATGTAATTGAAATTTATTTTGATGTGATGAGGTAAATATTTAAAATAAATTTCAATCACATAACATTTTTTTATAACTTTCTATAATATAATTCCATGCACTTGGCATTGGCCATATTTTTAAGCTTGAAATAGTTGGGGGATTAGGTCTAAATGGTTGTAAGTCATCCTGTTAGGTGGACATGGCTGAATTTTGATGTCATACTTATGGCTTATTAGTGGGTGTCGGATGTTTGCTTCTTTTTTTATTTTTTTATTTTATTTTGATTTTATTTTTTTATTTTTTTTGTTATCTTATTTTCGTCTTTACACTTTATTTGGATTGTAATGTGAGAAAATAAAAGAAATGATGAAAGTTTATCATCTAGGTATGCAAAAAAATTGTAGTTTCTTACCTTCTTATTTGGATAGACAATGATTAAAAGATGACACATTTGTCTTTTTATTTTATTTTCTTCGTATTTAGAGGGGTATTTTAGGTATTATATTTTTTTTGTAAAGAGTAATTTTGGTTTCTCACCAAATTTCACCGCAAACAAAACTTAAATTTGGAGTAATTCACACTATTTGTCTTTATTTCTCACAATTACTCATCTTATTAATCATCTAAACAAGTGATAAAAAACTTTATTCTCTTCATTTATTTATTTTCTCATCAAACCCCTTAATCCAAACATAGCGGTAGTAAATTTTTTTTTTTTTTAAAAGTTCAAAAACTTCAAGTTTGTAGATTCTACTTGACTTTACAACTGATTTATACCTTTTCTTCATATTTTGTTAAGGTCAAAATTTTTTCCTTTTTTATGAAGAAAAGTGTATAATCTTAATATATTTTTCTTGATTGAAATTATAAAATATGTTCATATTTTGTTGGAAATATAAGGATTATTAGTTTGCGAAAATATTTCTTCCTAATTTAGCTCTCTTTTAAGTTGAAATCCTAATTCCGCCTCTAGGAGGTCGACCGTGGTCAATGACAGTGATGACCAATAAATGATGATAGGAATAGGTCGGAGAAAGAGGAGAAATGAAAAACATAAATGAATGAGTCAACCAAATTACAATTTTTAAAATTATTTACAACTTTATGAAAATCAAAATAGCAATAGACACCAAATGGGTTTTATTTACAATTTTTAAAATGTCTGTGAATATATAAATAGAAAACTATAAATATAAATAATACTAAACATGTGGGCTCTACATAGTTCATATTTGATTGATAAAAATATAATGAGACTAATAATCCCATAAAAATTTTGAATCCCTTTACGTAGTGGGATTAGTTTTCCCATGGAGGTACTGGAGTTGTTAATCCAATCTCATGGTATTGGATGTGGGATTAGTTTTCCCATGGAGGTACTGGAGTTGTTAATCCAATCTCATGGTATTGGATGTGAAAAGATAATTTTGCCATCATATTACAAAAACATGTGGGCTCAATACAAACCTCTCTATTCACTAATCGCTGTTTAAATTTTAATGTGAAAAGATAATTTTGCCATCATATTACAAAAACATGTGGGCTCAATACAAACCTCTCTATTCACTAATCGCTGTTTAAATTTTAAATTTTATAATTTGCTTTTGAAACCGTTCTGCTCAACTATAGTTAATATATATATATATATTAACTTATATAAAACATTCAAGTAAAAATGAGCGTGAAAGAGATTTAATATGTAAAATTTATTACAAATTAATAGTTATATATATAAAAAATATTATGCAAATAAGTGTTATATCTTATCAAAAGACTTGAGAATTTGTTAGAATATTTTTCAATTCGCCAATCTACCTAAAATTGCTTAAATCGCAAATTGTCAATCCGCCAATCTGCTAATTCACCATTCGGTTTATAATTTTACTCTCGCATCTCTAATCACATTAGTACACAAACAATTACACTTTATCTTATATTTCTAACTTTATACCACTACATTAATAATCCCATCACTTAATCTCACTGCATTCATAATCCTATCCAATATAATCCTCCAAACAAACAAGTCGTATGTGTGATTTCTTTTTAACTATTTCCTTCTCATTAATTGTAATATATATATAGAGAGAGAGAGGATTCTATAGTGCACACTCCTAAAAAAGTTATGTACAATATGCCCCAAGTTATAACCTTTGTGATATTTAATTATGATTTATTGTGGTGTTAATTATGTGGTGGTACTACATGTACCAATTAGTATACCAGCTAGTGTTATGGCATTATTACTGACTACATTTATTATGCACATTACAAATATCCAAAACCTCTAAAATGATGTCACATCATCTATGAGTACACTAGTTAGTACATTAATTGAAACATATAGTATTATTCTTAATTATGACTTGATTATAACATTTGTGATGTTACCTATAACTCATTATGATGTTGATTATGACATTATTTCAATTAAGGTTTGTTTGTTATCAAATGCCCTATGGGCACTTGTAAAGAATGTATTAACTCACCTTAATCAACCCCACTATCATAGAAAATTAAATAGGTTATAAATATTGTATTGTTAGGGGCCAAATTATCCTTTTCTATAATTGCTTCTATTTTATGTACTTTTAATAATGGAATTTTTTTATAATTAAAATTGAATTTTATTTTTGTAAATAATATTTTGTGATTTTTTTTTTTAAATTTCAATCATACTTAAATTATAGTGTAAGAAAAATAAATCTAAAAAATAAAAAAAAATATAAAAAAATTTCATAAGATTAATCAATAAATGAATTTTATTTTTAAATGACATTTTGTGGATTTTTTTTAAATTTGTAAATGCCCTTTATTTTCAATTATAATTAAACTGTGTAGTGTAAGGAAAATGTCATTAAAATTTTAAAAATAAAGGGCAGTTAAATTTTTTTTAAAAAAAAGCCACGGAATGTTTCATTTAAAATTAAAGGGCATTCACTTTTATTAAAAAAATATATATATATTAAAAACTAGGGATATTTACCAATAAATCATATCTCACAAACAGTTTTACTGATTGGTCCTAAGGTTATTTCTATTGTTTTGATTAGTCCTATTAGTGAGGAAATATCTTACCAGTTGATCCTATTTCCTTTGTTTAGTAACATTGAGTGGTCAATTATACCCTTTTGTGTGTGTGTCGCGTGACATACATCATTCCAAAGCAAAAAGCATAAAGAGCCTTAGTGTACTTTGTTGATGTGTGGCACCCATTGTGTGTGTCACATGACACTCATCACTCTAAGGCAAAAAACATAAAGAGCCTTAGTGTACTTTGTTGATGTGTGACACTCATTGTGTGTGTCACGTGACACTTCAAGGCAAAAAGCATAAAGAATTTTTAGTGTACTTTGTTGATATGTGGCACCCATTGTGTGTGTCACGTGACATATTGTGTCTCACGTGACACACCTTCATAAAGAGCATGCATCTAATAACATCTAAACGAGAGCATTAAGGTCTCTCAAAATATCCAAGGACTAAACGGTTTATTAGAAAAAAATTGGGACCAATTGGTTCATAAGTTTAACAGTTGGGATTTATTGGTAAATTTCCTTAAAAAATATTCTATTACGAAAGTATATAAAATATTAAAATAGAGACAATTAAAGAAAATGGTAATTTGGTATCTAACAATACAATATTTATAACATATTCAATTTTCTATGATAGTAGGATTGGTTAAGATCAATTAATGCATACTTAACAAGTGCACTACGAACCCTTGTTAACAAAGCTGTGTTTAGTTATAATTTTTTTATTTTTATCTTTTATAATTATAATTGAAGATGATTTAATTATAACATTTGTAATATGTAGAAATTTAATGTATAAAGAGAAATGATTGTATTATTGATTGAAATTGATGTGTTATATTTTACAATGATTCATGATTCCTATATATAGAAGAGGGTGAGTGTGTAGTAGGTAAGGAGTAGGTGAAGTGGAGGTGGTAGTGGTGTAGTGGGTTAGGTTTAGTGGAGTAGGTGAGATGGTAGTGGTGTAGTGGGTTAGGTTTAGTGGAGTAGGTGAGATGGTAGTGGTGTAGTGGGTTAGGTTTAGTGGAGTAGGTGAGATGGTAGTGGTGTAGTGGGTTAGGTTTAGTGGAGTAGGTGAGATGGTAGTGGTGTAGTGGGTTAGGTTTAGTGGAGTAGGTGAGATGGTAGTGGTGTAGTGGGTTAGGTTTAGTGGAGTAGGTGAGATGGTAGTGGTGTAGTGGGTTAGGTTTAGTGGAGTAGGTGAGATGGTAGTGGTGTAGT